CATGAGTTTTCCACTCCAAACCTTTATTTATGAAAATTTGGCGGAGGACAGACAGGTGGTAATGCGAAATGAAGGTGGCTACTGTTGAGTTGAACCCTGTAGGATCTCCGTATCTTCCTTGGGTAAACGTTTGTGCCCCTGGGACTATCAGCCACTTTTCTGTTAGAAGGTATTCCACTCAGCGGGTTGCTGTGGAGGTTTATTGTTTGATGGGTCGCTCTTAGGGGTCTACTGCTACCTAACCATAATTATTTGTTGACGTCCGTTCTATTGTCCCATACATAATTGGTGTCCCTGATGTGTCGATTTCAAAGGTATGCAAATGGTTATTTCTTCAAAGGCTGACTGCCATATTTTGGTAAAATTCTGCAGTATAAACCCAAGTTAACTCTAACTGATCTCAGCTTTTATTGGATTCCCCTTTCTAATCATTGACGTATTTATTGGGCACCTATTCTAGTGACGCCGACTAATAAATACCTATTGTTCTTCTTTCAGAGGAAAATCTTCTCTATCGCGCTCGGTATTATGGTGACGATGCCGGCCACGAACGCGCTTCACAAATTAAGTTGCACAGCTGTGATCGCCTGATTGAAGTTTTCGGCGGATAATGATCTGCTGTTTTTTGCTATCCCTCGGTGCAATTCCCCACAGTACTTGTCTCGGTCCTCATTGTTGTGTCCATCGAGCTTGGCACCGAATGTGAGCTCTCTGAATATTGCTAGGTCATGACGATCCACTCTAGGCAGTGTTCTTGTGTCACTGAGTGTAAATACATTGATTTCGGGCGTGTTGCCTGACAACCAGTCTGATGTTTCTATCCTGGTTGACTGAGTTTTGTGATTTTCTCATAGTTTCACCCTCCCTGCTCTTTTTACTTGTACCACCCATCGTTGCCCTGCTTTTACCGTACAATCCCGCGCACAAGACACGCCGTGATAGTCCACATTATCCGCTCATTTTCGCTGGTTACTAGGTGGCCACTTTCAAACTGGAGCATTTCCTCAACCATATTGTCGGATTCTTGGTGTAACGTTGAGATTTTTCTATTTCAATACATAGTCTTGCGACGTCCCTTTTGCCTCTTTTCATTTGACCTTCAGTCGTGTCTGATGCGGGTTACTGTTCTCCATCTTTTGTGTTCGTTTTGCTTATTAGACAACATATATTGCCTCATACTGTACGCTCTGTGTCGATTTCAGATGGATCGGTTTGCATGTATAAATGCAGTTCATTTAGTTCTCACTGGAACGTGCTTATGACTTACCAAGACGCACAGTTGCCTGCTTTGACGTCAGGTCCCTCATTTAAGCTATTGGTTCAATGTTATAAGCCTTGTTACAAAGGCGAATTTCAATTTCGGCACTAGTTTACATTTACATTCCTAAGGAATTCTGTTGGACCATCATGCCTTTATTGATGCTGATTAACAGCATGTATTAGTGCATCTCCAACTGAGTGCTGTCAGAGTCCTGAAAGGCACATCGCACTCGTGTTTCTCTCAGTCTTTTGGACCGGCTTTCACACCGTTGTATTATGTCACAGGTTACCAACTTTGCGCTGCGTTCAGTCGTTCCTTAAGTTCCCTGAGATTGCTCTTAATCACGGGACAATCTAGAGTAAAATAGGCAAAGTCCGGTACCTGAAACGTAACACTTTTATATGGGAAACCAAGCAATGTTGGATTACCATACAATTTCGCGGAGAGTGCACACAATTGGGTCGCATATGATGATTATCACTACTACCAACATCTGGGTATAATACCACTCACTCACTAATGTATTGTTATAAGTGTATATGCGCGTAGTAATCCCCGCTTAGAGGTGGACCGGTTTAAATTGTTCTCATACGGTGAATTCTTGAGTGAGGTTTTCCTCTTGGTAACCAAGCGCCAAAAGCATTATTTTTCTTCGTCTTTCTGTAAGCCGGGTTTGATTTAGTGGACTTAGTTCTCTGGATCGACATGAGTGTGAACATCCGTGCCTATTGAATGGCATTGATTGCTGTAGCATTGATGAAGTCCCGATTTGACCGACTCCCGTGTTTCCTGAGGCGTTCTGATGCCTTTAACAGTCATATGGTATTGTCGCAGTTGTTATCGCACTGCGTACATGGTACTTCAGTTTATTCGGCATTACTAATCTAGGTGAGCGCGCAAGTGTTCGTTCGGTACTGTCTTAGAAATGGCTTAAATTCCAAACTAATTGTAAACAGCTGAGGCGTTATCAACTGAGCAGGCAGGTCTGAGGAGCACCGTTGAATCCTGACTAACCGACGATTCGACAAAATCAAGGTCGTCCTATTTATTCGGTGTTCCTTGCTGAGTAAGACTTAACACAGGCACTGGAGTTACTACCTTTTTCATCTAGTCATGTCAGCAGCGAAATTGTTACGATCCACTGAGTTGACGGTACAGAGTAACGGGGTGAGCGACATTTGGGTTTAGATTATGCAATGGTGCTTTTTGAACCGCTACATTCACTTAAGCAGGATGTATAAGTCTGTTGGAAGAAGTTGAACCACCTTTTTCCCCAGTTCTGTTTCTTGCCCAAACCGTTTGTCAAGACGGGCCTCAACAAGGTTCCTACTCGCGTCAACAAGGGAGACGTGATGGATACTTCATAATACGTTACACAATGTCTGCGAAAAGTCCGGAATTCTATGGTCTATAATTTCGGATATGTCACTCCTATGTAAATACTTTTCACCGACCACGAATTTGGAGAGCGAGGCTTGACATTCGGGGTTTTCTTTGTCTTCGTATTTATCCACGGGAATTTACACTGATGCTAGCGTGCTTTTGGGTCTCTTCTACACTGACATTCGGCCGGACTTCAATGAGGTGCATCATGCACTGTCGAAACACTTGTGTGGTCTGGATTGGGTCGGTTTCTTATGAGTTTTCCGTGATACTGGAAGACCTTGGGCGTCAATGCTATCCAACAGTAGGGAAAGACAGGCTCTCACAGTAATTGATAGGTACGTTTATTGAGCTATGTGCCACTCGCATAAAACGACACCCCTGTTTATATTGGAGCTTTGCACCTTTACTTGCATGGTCCGTTGTTTCCCATCCAACAATGCTTCACATAGATGTAAAAAGAATTTTTTCGCGAAAGTGGTCGAACATCCTTGAGAAATCGAAATACGCCGTCGAACCTTTCACTGTTCAGTCCGGAGCAGGGACTCTGAATATGTTGGGAAAAGAAACAAGCAGATGATATCTGTTTCGAGTCTGCCCTCACTATCCTAAGGCAGTTGGTTAGCTCCCAAGAGGCTTAGTGGCAATGACCAAAAAAGATAACACAGCTGTACGCGAATAACTGATTCGGAGAATGCGACGACAATACTGGTGAAGTCCACGTTCCTCAGCTGCTGCAGTTTACAATTTATCCTATCATTACCTCAAACTACACGACAAACGGTGTTCTGACGTAATACTTGGCTGGTTTTATTTGTTTGTTTCTTAATTGAGCACATCCCGCTCCCTGTTTTGACATACGTGAGGGTTTCAGAAGTCTGACAAAATTGTGCATATGGCCCCACAAATTGCCCGTTGTTGGCTTTGGGACTTATCGACGAGTGGTGTTGATCCTAAAACAGTGTATATACCCCCTGAGGTGGCAGCGTGACCGTTTAGCTAGCAATGAGTACTTGTATATCGGTGGTCATATCGGTTGTAGCACTAGCTTTGGACGCATGTTCCGGATTCTTTATGCAAACCAGCTCCTCATGAGGTATAGCTCAGGGGTGTTGCTCAATCGGCCTGCTCAGTTTTCGCAGCTTCTCACGTACCCTTTTTCAATCAGAAGTAGCTAATAGGTTCACGCCTCTTTGCAAACCTTATGGGATAAGAAGGTGCGTCTTCAAACGTAGAAGGTTACAAATTCCTGGTTGTGTTGTCTAACTTTACCCTTTGACACATTTTGGGCCCCCTGCGGGTAGTTGATGGCTGTAGTTTTATTTAAATACGCACTCTGCTTCGTTCCGATCGACAGAAGCACCTAATGACTCTATTTACGTAGTTAAGTGGTAGCCGATGTATATTTTGCAATCATCTATTATGGTACCACAAGAGAGTTTACCCATGGGTCCTGGTCACTCTGATCCCTTCTGGGTGATGGCTCTGTCCGAGATGATTGATCGTATCGATAATTTTGTGACAGTTGTGTAGCCTTCAACGTCTAACGGTTGTTGTTCGATGTCCGTCGTGTTCATAACCCCCTTTTGAATTGTTATTCCCCCAAATTTGGAAATAGTCATAGGATACTGTTCCGGGCCTGAAATGTCCTTTTTCTCACTGGAGTCGATATCTTTGCGTACCCATGGTAGTTCTGAAATTATTCGGCTTTTTTTCATTTGCTGTCGCATGTTTCTTTAGGCCCCCTGAATAATCGCCTCAAAGTGTTTCCATCGCGTAAAGAAAATCGCATGTTGAACGTGGACGATAAATCACTCGACACAGCATTTTATTAGGTTGTTATATGTCTTGTGGTCGAACTCAATTCAACAATAAGACGAATAGCCTTTACCCAGTAGTCGTGTGTGTTGATGGAGTGTGCAGTCGGGGTGCCTGTACTGTCGGCACCCACGACTTTTGCGTGTCTGGATTACCTAAATAATCGAGTTGTGTTTATCACAAAGGTGGAACTTGATAACTAGGCCTAAATCAAAGTCATCAGATCCAAACACACTAAAAGCAAGGAAGATTCGCTTGCAATCAACTTTGTAGAATGCATTATACTTGTGTGATTTTATAAGGCTTTGAGTAACTTCAAGAGGCAGGAGAACTATATCGATGTTTGGTTGTGTGATTTAAGGCTGTGCGTGCCAGTCATGACTCAGTCGCAACCTCAATGGCGTCCTTACACCGAAGCTTTTGACTTTAATGCATAGCTCCCCTTCCGGTCTCCCCAGTGAGAAGTCCATTGACCTTCAAGTATACCATCTACCACCTCCAGTCCCTAGCAATCTACTCCACCTCCCCAAATCACCGGCAAATGAAACAGACAGCTATAACCACTGTACGAGTATGCACTTACAGCTGAAGATGAACTAACACAAGTTTTAACTAGTGAGGTGTTCGTCTCACTATCCTGTTAGTCATCCTCAGTGGGAAGCTGTGTGATGTTCAAGATATCGAAGTCTGCTCTCTTGACACTGGTTCGTTTATTGTGGTAGGTCCCTATGTGGACGGAACTGATTGGAAGCACCGCCGTACACGAACATGCTGTCACAATCATTTCTTATCGTAGTGAGATGGTTGCGCCGCAACGTTCCTTTTCAACTTTTTTTCTTGGTATATATATATA